CCGAAAAGCATATCTAATCAACGCTATAAGACTGGCGCCTTCTGAAAGACCCCGAGAACCGCGGCGTTGGTGCACCAAACCCAATGACGGACCCCGCTGGAATGGACGCAATGATGGGGATGATGAAAGGGAATATGGCTATGATGATCCCACAGACTCTTATTATGTCGTGGATCAATGCCTTCTTTTCTGGATTCGTTATATGTAAGACATCCTCAGCTGCGAGAACTACAGCATTACAAACTGGACTGATTTCATGTTTGTTATATAGTGAAACTCCCATTCCCCTTGACCATCCGATTCAAATCCATGCTACAGTCTGGTGTCATGACCCGTGACCTTGATGTCAGATGGGTCTCCAGTTTGTCTTGGTACTTCTTGAACTTGTTCGGCCTCCAGTCTGTTTTTGGGTTTATCCTGGGTAGTGACAACTGTAAGTATAACCAGTTAACACTTTGGTTATACTCACTAATGGTTTGAGTAGCCGCCGGTCAAGTGATGCAGCAGGTAGGCGTCACGAACCCTGCTGTGAATCCATTCCAACCCGGCCAGGATCCAGAGAAAATCTTCCAAGGAGAGGCTGAGAATATCGAGGTGATGGAACACTATTGCATCCTGGATGGGATTGAAGAGCGGCTATTACAGAAGGCGTCGTAAAAGTCCTGTTTCGATTCCTTCACTATTTCATAATTAAAAAATACCCTTGACCTTTAAAATGTGTACATTGGTTAAAGAGACCTGAATCGATACCACGACTATATATTTCATGCACCACCGAAATGCTAGACAATAACTTATCGCTATAAGAGACACCAGAAAATTACCTTAACCCCATTCATACCCGGATACTTATAATAATTGTTTCACAAGTAGTTGAGAACTCCATTGATAACCCAAACTTCACCATTAGCGACGTCGGAGACCACGTCTTCAACCTCGATGTTGCCGGGGTGAATCTGATCAACAGTTAGGAGCAATTAAACCGGGAACCGCTATAATATGATGACTTACATATTTCTTCCCATCTTTCTCTTCCCAAAATATTTTCGCGCCTCCCAAAGTCTTAACTTCTTTGCCAGCCTCCCAAGAGCCCTGTGGTATCAAATGAGCCAAGATGAACTTCTCCAAGTTTTGATTTGCTCGTTTCTTTCCCGACTCCCCTTCATACGCTGCTTGCACTCCAAAGGTGGCATAATCACTAGGGTTCTCCCACGGTTTATGAGGTAAGCCTTGGACGGCAACGTTGTTCGGGGCCAAAACTATCGTATCCTGGGTATCATTATCCAGACGGTTTGAGATATTCTCATCACCTCGAGTCATGGAGGCGAAAATGTTGACCTCTCGAGTCTTCCCCAAGATATCTGAAACGCGAACACCGTTGCTGCCAACGGCCTCTTTAGAGGGGGGCATGACGAACTGCGGCTTAGAGTCACGGTCCTCAGGAAACCTCCAGTTGAGCCTGTCAATATTATTCCGCTCCGGATCGAGGTTCTTTGGACTTCTATAATCTCGAGGCAGCAGTCGCCGTCTGGATAGGACGGGAGGATTCCAATGCGAGGAGCAAACTGCAAACAGAGACGTCAACGCAAGAAGTGTATAGAGAATATCGATTTTCATAGCGAGCAGCAAGGTTTAAGAACACATATTTATAAACCAGTTTCTAACCTGTGTCTGGTATGGCATGGGGGTATTCAAATCCATCAACGTCGCCGTCGTTGCTCTTTTGATCCCCAGGTCAAGGTTGATATGACGTCAGCAGATTGGGGTCACGTGTGGAGATCGCGGGACTGTTCTTACACGTGATCTTATCGATAAGCATGTTTAACTCAGGATAAACCGCAAGTGGGAAAATATTTGGACTTCGCATGTAGGAAAAGGAAGTGAGAGGAAGACGAAGACAGGCGGCAGACAAGATGGCTGAGCTGCAGGATTTTATGCTGGTGGCTGAAAAGGATCGGGATGAGGCAATGCGAATTGCTAGCGTTGTTGCGTCAAGTGAGTTCAGTGTGTGAGGCTCTTAAGGTGATTCCTAGCTAATCTGCGAAATCTAGAGCTTGAGAGCAAACAGACTACACTGATAGACATTGTGAAGTCGTTGGGGGAATATATCAATGATGAAGACGCCAGTATACGTGGAAAAGCAGTTTCCTACTTGACGGCGGTGATAATAGCTCTCCCTGACAAATTCCTGAGCCGACAGCAAATCCAAGTTTTAACGACCTTCTTTTGTGCACGGATTGAAGATGGCGGTTCTATCACTGGCTTGCGCACTCTTCACGGGATGGAATGCTTTGATAAGTCCATGGCTCAAGACGCATTTCGGGCGTAAGTGTAGCGCGAACTGGCTGCGATTAATTGCCGTTATACTAATCGTGATTGTAGCATTTATCAACATTCCACGGAATTCCGATCCCGCCCACAGTCACAACGATTACAAGTCCTCCATCTTCTAAATGAATTGATGGCAAAGAGCCGAGAAGGTATTTCATTCTACATTGAACAAAACCATGAACTAGAGCTGGACTAATGAATTCTAGCCATGCGTGAGATGAATGATGAGTCACTTATAGGAATCGTGGATCTTGTAAGCGGAGAGCGAGATCCCCGCAATCTTATGATTGTTTTCTCCATTCTCAAAGTAGTAATGATGGAGTGGGATATATCAGGCCATACTCAGGTAAAGTCATACTCTTGATATTGAAAATACTATTTGGTACTAACACAATGGATACCTCAAAGGATCTATTTGATGCTGCTTACAATTACTTCCCAATCACATTTAGACCTCCTCCAAACGATCCATACGGCGTAACTGCACAGGACCTGAAAGATAGACTACAAGCTTGCATAACATCCACGTCTCTCTTTGCTCCATATTCGTTCCCGGCCTTACTAGACAAGCTAGACTCAACATCAGCGAATGTAAAGGTAAGGTTCAACATTTCAATCCAATTTTTTCCTTGATCAAAACTAACTTATTTCCTCAGCGGGATGCTTTAAAAGCACTCAATGGTTGTATTGAATCATATAGCCCGGCAACCATAGCCCGGTACTCCATTTCCATTTGGGACTGTCTCAAATTTGAAATACTCAACGCCCAGGACGAGGTCCTTCCTGCAGAAGCTTTGCGGGTATTACATTCGCTGGCTTCTAACCTACCCACATCATCAGTGAATGAATTCAATAAATCACCGCTTGCGCAGCTCCTAAAGCCGGTCACCAATGAATGTATTGATCAATTACGAGAGCCACTGCAGAAACAGGCAAAACCGGCGCGGCAAATATTGAGCTCATTATCATCTGCATCCTCCCCTGCATTTACCCTGATAACTGAATACGTTACTCGCCCTTTGATTAGCATCTATCAAAATGCTGACAGCATCTCGAAGCAACGCGAGATTCTGGAAACCTTCGTCGAGCTCTTCAAATCGGCTGTAACAGTCTTCGGAACTTGGACCACTATTACTTCGGAATCCAGCCTTCCAAACCCGCTTGTGTCACACAAAGACGTTCTTACACAAATATTCAGTAAATCGCTAATGGGTTCAGCGGAAGATGAAAATTCATTCAGGCTCTCAGCGTTGAAAGGTCTCATTGAACTTTCTATTCTACCAAATTTCCTGGAGGATAACGAAATCGGTCTTTTTGTGCAATACTTCGATGATATCCTTCTCCAGGAACGAATTGTTGCGCATGGAGAATTGCGCAAGGAAACCATCAATGCTCTAGCAAAGATTTCAAAAAATAAACCACAGCTTATCATTGATATTACTTTCCCAGCACTATTAGCGACTCTACCTGACATGGAAAATGGAGATGACGAGTCCTATCTATACTCGCTTGATAGTCTGGCACGGATAAGCATTGAAAAGGAGGTTTTCAACATCCTTGTCAGGAGATTGCTCAGTAAGCTGGATGTTGTGACCAGCTCCAATGGCTCTTCAACCTACACCGCCGCTATATTAACGACGATTCTCCACGCAATGGAGCATCGTGAAGACCTAGAAAACGACCCGAACTTGAACTTCTACTACGAGAAGATTGTCCAATCTCTATGCGGACGCACTGCTAAAGCGTCTACAACGGGGGGAACGGCCCTTAACCACCCGCGTGTACTAGATACCCTAGGACGACTTTGTAACCTTATCATTCGCCACTTACCACGAGCCACGCAGGATGAGGTATGCAAAAACATATATGCTCTATTTACAACCGGAGAAGGGTTTACACCAGCTCTATTTTCAGAGCAGCCCACAACCCTCCAGCAAAAGCAGATGATTATTATATCAACCTATATCCTTGCTGCATTGCCGAAGGATATATCGCCACTGCCATATACCAATACTGGAATCGAACCTCTTTTGCAGCAAAGCGTAAAAGCTTCAGTATCAGAGGAATCTGATCCCTCCATTCAGCTTGCATTAGGCCGCCATGTTGCTCTCTTAGCCAACAAATTCCTTTCCAAGGAGGAAATTCAGTGCGCTTCAGATGTTTTATTTTCACTAATACCGTCGTCGTCACCTACGCCCCTATCGCAACAGACTATTCGAACCATATTCTGGCTATCAAAAGCTCTAATACTCCGCCTAGCGCCTTCAACGACACAGATACTAACCTCTTTATTGGACTTATTGGATTACCCAGACACAAAGACCAGCGCCCTTTGCGCTAGGGGATTTAGCATTCTCCTTGCCGAAGACAGTATCCTTAACGTTAAAAATGGAGCCATCGTTCGTCTTCTAGCTAAACAAAAGGTATTCACAACCGTTACACCTTTGATATCTGCCCGGGTCCACGATGCCAATAGATCCGCTACTACGCACGACGAATCATCACTGAGGAAACCCCATTCTAAAGAATCATATCTTACTGCCCTGTCCGGCCTCTTGTCCACTATACCCTCATCTTTAGTAATGACCAAGTTACCGACACTCTTACCTCTTTTACTTCAATCCCTCGACCTACATTCTGCCGCTCATACCTCATCTCCCGAGTCATCACCCACAACCAGCGGTAATATCAAATCCGTCACTCTCAAAACACTGGCCATTGTCATTCACGAAAACGGGGTCCAGGTGATAAACGAAATTGGCTATGTGGAAGATCTTGTCACCCGCCTTTTGAGGACGGCAAAAGTACACAGCAAAACTGGAGCCGATGTAAATGTGCAAACCCCAGATTCGTCAACATCAAAAGAGGCTGGCGTTACCAATGCCGGTAATCCAGCGAAAGTTCGAGCTCAAGCTCTTCAATGTCTAAATCTACTTGCGAATAACCCTGTTAGACAAGGTGCGGAAGGGGAGAATAAGAAGACTCTGTCTACAGTGTCTCCTCTACTACGTCTGAAAAAGACTGTTCTCAGGGACTTGCTGTGTGTACTTGATGATCCTAAGCGGGATGTTCGTAAGGCAGCCGTGGATGCAAGAGCAGCATGGCTAAGAAATGTTGAAGATGAAACAAATGATGGCGACGATTAGGGAAATAGATTCCTTAGAAATAGTACCACCGTTCGCTCGGTTAAAAGAAGGCATAGGAGTTACACGCATTTTGTTTTTTATTTTTTATTCCTACGGATATTGCCCTTTTCAGCCCCGCTTCGTTACATATCAAAAGTTAAACAGATACCTGTTAGAAATTTGATTAACAGCTTTGAATTCTAAAAACAAATCATCCATTAATTACGGTATAGAATAATAGCAATGGACGTATTCAAATATTATTAGGGGCAAGCCATCATGCCCTAGAAAGGTTTAAATTTTATCTACAAATAAAATCTACTTTATTCTAGGTAGTTAGGGGTAGTGGCAGGAGCGCAGCTAGTTTACCAGTATGGGCCTAGGTCATCCAGGGTCGGGGTAATGCTCCTGCTAGCATCGTCATCGTATTCTCTGCTACCTCTGGCAAGGGAGAAAGCAAATGGGCCGGCTCCAGCAGAAGCTAATGGAGACGGGTATTTGTCTTGGATGAAATTGGTAGGTGTGTAATTGGCCCAACCAACAACGTCAATTTTTTCCACAACCTTTTTTGCAACGCGGAACAGGTTACCTATTCCAGATGAGCCTATCGTTCGCCCAGCAGTTGTTAAGAATTCATCTGGCCGGTCCGTCTCAGTAATGTTACCTCCAAAATGGGATTCAGCACCAAGTAAGTCATCGGAGCGCCATGAGTCGACCCGTTCTCCAACAGTGAGGTTCTTGTTTGCTTGGAGGACTTTTTCAATAGCAGGACTGACAATAGATGCCTCGAACCAGAGTCGAGATCCTTCAACCATGGCCTCGGAACCGATAGATCGTACCCGGATGGCATTTTTGTCCATAGGGTTGTTACCAGAAATCAATCTCTGGACTTCAGTTATCTGGAGGAACAAAGGCTGTTCACAGTCGGAACCTGATGGTTCGGAGTTTTCAAGTACATACTTCCCGACATACTTGTGGCGAGTGGTTCGTTTCATTAGAATCTTAGTGATCCTGAGCGCACTGTCCTCTGGAACACGAGTAAATAGGATAACTCTTGTCCGGTCCGGGGGAACATACAAGTTATCAACGATGCATTTGACAGTATCCGCAATTCCACTTTCAGGTGCCGCAATATATTCTTGGGTTCCTTTGACCGTGACTCGAAGGTCCCAAATATTCAGGGGAAAATGAATATTTGCCGCTCCTAAGACAAATTCAGGGCGATTGATGGTCACAGCCCCAGACTCATCGATAACGATAACGATGTCAGTACTATCCTTCGTTTGACAGTGAAATTCGTAGCAAACTTGACTAGTTGTGGGTTCCTCTTCGAAATAAGGCTGGGTATCAGATTCATCCTCAACACCAAGCTTGAAAAAATAATCAATATCTGTTCCAGAAGTTGTCAAGAATTGGTTGAACACCGTAGTGAGGCCTGGAAGACCATGTCGTGGCCTGAAGAGAGCATTCCAGGCTTTGAGGTCAAGCGTTCGTCCTGTATGAAGCTTGGACACCGAGTTAGTGAGGATAAGACCAAGTTGAATTTCCACAGACAATGTGCCAGTAAAGTATTGAATAGCGTCAAGGACAGGCTTAAGGCAGCCAAAAAGATCTTTGATATTGTTGGTATCAATGGTTTCCTCCTTGATACTTTTTTCCTTTTTCCATTGGCTGGGTTCAGGGGCTTGAGCAGGTTTGGGTTGAGATGGTGTTGGGATAGGTCCCCATGCTTCCAAATATGCAGCCTGTTTTCTTGCTTTTTGCTCAGCTTTTGTTTCACGCTTGACAGAAGCCGGTGGAACTGGTGATTTTTGCCCCATAGTGCGATGGAAGACTCTGGTGGTTTCTTCCCCGTCGATAATTTTAGGCCCAAGACGTTCAAAAGCACTAGACGAGACCTTAGTGGAGCGCTTTAGCTTTCGAAGTCTTTCTTCGTTCGACATTAGATCATTAACAGGGTCTCTGTTCTCTTCAGTAGGCTGCTCTGGGGAGTGGAATGTTCCTATAATCTCAGGAGATGTCACCGGTGAGGCAAGTCTGGGCTGGAGAGCAGGAATGGACGGAACCAACATCTGAGAAAACGACATTGATTGTGTAGATGGAGCCACAAACTCAGTGTCATCCGTTGATGTATCGATAAGTGTCTGTACTCTTCTCCCTGTTGATTTTCCATACTCTCTTGGACGTGGATACATAAATGGAGCTACGTTTCCTGGTCGGCGTGGAGGTGACTTCTTTGGATGGCCATAAGCTGAGGTATTGAATGACTCTGGTAGAACGCTCCTAGGAGGAGGGATAACCGGCTGTTGGAAAGTTGCTTTTGGGGACCTCAACTCAATGGGAGTTTCAGCCGGCTCTGGGTCTATTTTCTCGACAACGTGCTGTTCAGTGATGGGTTGCTTGACAATGGACTCCTGAAGAGGTTTTTCGACAATAGGCTGTGGGATTTTCGGCGCAGTTTGGACGTTGGCCGGAGGTAGCGGTTGACGTCTTTTTAATCCCGAAGGAAGCTTGGGTGCTTCAACAACTTCAGCAGAAGGCTCAGGAGGGAGGGTACTATTTGGTTCGGAGACGTTTGTTCCGACGGCACCTGCCTTTACGCCTTCCGTAACCCATTTGTTCACAAAGGATGCTTTCTCATGCGAGAGCCAAGGGTGGTCAACAATTAGTTCATCATCTTGTTCGCTGTCGGGTTTCATAGACAGTGTCGTAGCTGGATCTTCTTTCGGGGCGGGAGGCAGGTTTGCAAGTACTGACGCATCTCCAAGCTGTTTAAACGTGAAATTATCCCAGATACTGGCCTGTCCTCGTCGCTGTTCTGTAAGTCGTGGTGGAAAGGCAATGTTCTTCGGGACTTTCAGCTCGCGAGAGTCTGCATCAATAACCTCCATAACGGTGATGAACATTGTATGCAAGTGATTGACCAATTTTGACTCAGGGCCATCAACCAAGACACGTCTAATAGCAGCATCATTCAATGTCCTGTACGGAACAACTCTAAGTCTGAACTCTGTAAGACCTCCCACGTGGAGGATGTTCGCAACTTGAGGAGCCACCATTAGAGACTAGATAGTAGGTATTAGATCGTATGCCTGCATTAATAATGCCAAGTAAAAGGTACTTACTAAATATGAGTGGACGTTCGAAAGTCGTTCCATGGCGTTGTCAGCTTGCCATTGCTCCATGCTAGTAATTCGAATTCTCTTGTTGCTTGCCTCAATATCCACCTGTGCTCCAGTTGCTTGGGATATAGCAGTAAGTATAGACCGAGAAGCTTTGATAAAGTACTCGATAGCTGCCTCATCCTCTTGCCAGTATTTGACTACCACAGGAAGCTTCAATGCCTCAGGAGGTGGAAGCTGTTCAATAAGTTGATCTTCCTCCTCACAGCATGCTTCACCCTCCACCTCGGGGCCGGCTAGCACCGAAAGACGTGTAATTTTTGGGCACTATTTAGCTCGTTAGTTTAAATGAGATAATTTGCTAGAACAATGGGAGTCGAACCTCAAGTAAATCATGTTCCTTCTCTTCCTCAATAAAGCTGGCCAAATACTCAGCAACTGCTGAAGCAGACAGAGATACGCTGCAGTTATCAATGGAAAACACCTAGATTTGTCTCTTGTTAGCTATATTCGGGAAATATCAACCATATAACTAGATATATATAGCTCATGAACCCACATCGTGTTCTGACTCGTATTTGCAGAATCCATCCGAGCTATGAGGTAACCCCCTGGAAGGCAAAGTTAACAAAGCAACTCTTTTCATCTAGTCGAGATAAGATCAATTGGTGATATCTCACTTGAAAAACTTGGTCACCTGATCAATCTATACAGATACAAAGAGTCGAATATTAGCAGCTATTCATGAAGAATTGAGATAGAACGACTTGTTACTCACACCCTCAGCTTCAAGCCTCCAGATGGATGCAACAGTCAGTCTATGGCCCGAATCCATGGCTGAGGCGCGTTTTTGAGCTGTCCTCCTAGCAAAACGGAGCTCAGCCTGTCTTCCTGGACTGAACTGCAGTCTTAGATGATGAATCGAGAGAAAACAAGGCTTCTCAAGGGAATAATACTAGAAAGTAGCAGTCGCAGAAAGGAGGTAAGACTTGAGCTAGGATATCAACTCTATAGTCATTGACCTCAGGTAGAATAAAAAAAATATAGAGTAAAAGAGTAACAAATCTGATGAGAAAATAGTGAATTGTCAGCATTCGCATGTAGAATAGACAGCCTCATTCACTCAAGTCTGAGAAGAAGAGAAGAAGAAAAGGAAGAGATTTCAGCTTTACTTACTGTCTTTCTGGTTGTTTTGGATGTAGCAGAAATAAAGAAGCAAGAGCGGGAATCTGCAGGTGAAACACTGTGCAAGAGCTGAGCAGAAGAGAAAAACAGTAAGAAAGAAGCAAAAGCAGAAGAAAATAATAGAAAAATAGGATGATGAGAAGAAGAAGAGAAGAGAACAGAATAAAAGGAGTGAAAGAGGAAGAGTGAAGTAGAAATTTGGTAGATATTCTACTTCACTGTGTTGGTGCGTTAGCGCCAGCAAGATATCCTCGCTAAGCAATGTGGATATTGATATTTGATTGCCATCTTAGATAGTCTTAGATAAGATGGCTATGAGCATTTGAGCAAATAGTTTATCCGAGCTGACTGATTGATTGGAGTCAATTGGAAGGATAGGGGTCCTGTATCATAAGAAGACAGTGTCCTACTATTAAGCTCTGGATGGTTATTGCGCATAACACACCATTCCTGGGCATAAGATGGATGTTCATTATAATGCATCTTATAAAATCATAAATAAGGCAAAGAGCCAACATGCTGACAGTGTAAAAGTAATATAGATACTCCAGTCTTATAAAAGATGAGGTCGAGTGAAGTCGAATTAAGGCCGGCATTAAATTTAAGCCGGCGGATGGACCCATAGGATCCTCCGGATAAACCTTCAAGGGGGGGATTGATATGCAGAGTACTAATGGTGGAAGAATAATATAATAAGTATTGAATAAGCAGTTCAATCTAAGTATCTGCACTAAAGTCGAAGAAAAGATATACTAATGCAACCAAAATGCCAATATCAGAATCATTTTGAAACTGGACAAGAGAGGTGTCAAGGAAAATGCAGGTAAAAAGCAAAACGAAAAAGGCGATGATGTCCTTACATATTTTTGGCCTCCCCTGCCATGTCCTTCCTTGTAAATGGGATGGATGTAGAAAGAAAAGAATCAAAAAAGGAAGAAGGTAAAAAGGTACAACTCAGACACCCTCCCTATGACTAGTCTAATGCTGCTTTGTTTCATGCTATTTCATCCCCCACCAAAAATGTATTCGTACAGTAGAATCAAAGGAATAAGACGTGAGATCGTGGTTGAGGGAATATAGCCGGAGATAGCGGAGGCCGAGAATAAAAATGGAAGTAGTGGAAGTGGCGGATGAAGATGTGAAAGAGGAAGATTAAGGGGTGAGACTTCCGGTCGATGCTTTAGGGGTATCCTGGACGTGTCGGTCGAATCGTATGTAGAGCCGTCGGGTGAGAGGGTGCAAATGCAAGGGTCGGGTGTTGGTAGGCAGATGAAGCCATCTAATCCATGGGGATGGGGTTGAACGTGAAACAGGAAGAAAGTCAAGCTAGGGTAATAGAAATCCAACCCGGGTCCAGTGGTCATGATGGATGGTCCGGTCCAACTCCGAACTCCGGCAACTTGGAATTATGCGAATGAAGTGAACAATGGTAAAAGGTATCAAGAAGAAAAAGGGAAGTAGAAGACAAGAAAGAAATCCGATCCAGCGGAACTGTTATACACGTCAAACCAGGTGATTTGACCGAGAAAAGGTAAAAGGTGGAAGGGAAGAGGTGGCGCAAAAACAGGAGATAGCTATCATCTGGCACCTTTGACGTTTTGCTTGACGTTGACAACCCATTTCATCTTGTCGGTGGTCTCTCGGGCATCTCTCAGCACAGTGTCGACGTCTCGATCGTTCTGCCTTCCTTTCTCCACGAGGTTTTGTAGCACTTCGTCACTGCGCGATTTGTACTCTTCATATAACGAGGTAATTTTCTCTGCCCGGTCACGAGCAGCTCGTATCTCACGGTCCTTTTGTTCGATGATAACGTCCAGTCTGCTGAGCTGACTCTGCCGTTCTTGCTCGCGCTTTATTAGCTCGTCAAAATCTTTCCTGAACATGCTGAAACGGGACTGAAACTCGTTTCTGTCACGTAATCGGGCCTGGGATAGAGCATCATATTGGCATTGAGATCGCTGGGCAATTTCCTGTGCTTCCGCAAAGGCTCGCTGGTGCTCTTCGCGCTGTTGTTGGGCAAGTTGTGTGGTTTCCGCGGCATCGTTTTCGGCCTTTAGACGTCTGTTCTTTTCGCTTTGTGTTTCTGATTTGAGATCTTCTATTTTCCTGTCCTTGCGTGCGATTGTTATCAGACTTGCTTCGTGGGACTGCTCGGAGCTGCGTAGTCGATCGGTAACGGTCTGTAGTTGTTGTTTTAATACTTCGTTCATGCGCTGGGCTTCTTCGGCTCGGGTTCGGTGGAGGTTGCATTCACGAGTAAGACGTGTGATTTGTTCCTGGAGATTGTGAATGACTCTACCGGATTTACCGGTCATTGCGTGGCCGATGGCAGAGGACCATTCTGGGGGTGATGTCGAGGGTAGGATAGGATCACCATTAGTAAGTGGAGATATCGGGCCAACTATCGCTTTCATTTTTTGTCAGTGTCCGCCTATTCGAACGGTAAAAAAACACGAGGTTGTGGACGGGGTAAAACGCACGGATGGGTTCGTCTCGCCTGGGAACACCATTGGTGCTGTAATTTGTGCCATTGGCGCCATCAGAGACATGGCTATCGAAATAACCGTTGGGCGAGTGCATGTTCAGGTTGGTCTCAACGTCGAGGAAAGAGATTTGGGGCGGTGTTTCAAAGGTGGCAGTGGAAACGGATGCAGAAATAGAAGCTGACGATGAGGTCGGAGCTTTAACAATAACCACATTAGAGTTAGCACTTGGTCTGCGGAGATGTAGCATTTTTCTGAGCTTCTGGAGAGGCTGTTTCATCGTTCAACAGCTACGGGATGGGGCCGGAGTCAGGCAGTGCGTGCTTTGTGGTGCTGTGTTGAAGGGAATTGGCCAGGATGGTTTGGGCTTGAGGAGGTATGAAAGAGGTGGTGGGTGGGTAGGTAGGTAGGCAGGCAGGTATAAGGATGGAAGAAGGCAGTGTAGTACCGCTGGGGTCGAAATCCCACTGATTTATCTTGGTCAAACGGGGCCAGGGAACAACTGCGGTGCTGGTTCATTGTCAGATCGGGCAGCCCATGACGCGCCTTGCTGAGGGAGAAGTGGGAGAGGACGGACAGCGTGGACAGACTGGACCTGCTGATGCGTTGGCGCCGTATATGCGCGGCCAGAGATGTATCAAAGAGAGGGTATGTGTGGTGGATTGAGCGAGACAAACGGCCTGAGATGGCTCCCGGGTGCCTCCTGTTGGCTCTCCCCGTCCGGCTGCAGGGTCATCGACCGCAGTAGCTGCTCGTCCGGTCGCAGAGTTGGCTCGTCAGCTGTTGGATGTCTTGCCTTGACGTCGCCTGCTGGGCTGATAAGATTGATTAATTAATTTGTTTACGACGGGAAGCCAAAAATGATTTGCAGGCCTAATGCTGAGTCAGCCGTGCAGATGAGTCAGCTGTCAGGCTCAAGTGACGTGCTGACTCAGTGCGCTAACCCTAAAGGGGAGAAAAATGGAAAAAAAAATAAAATGAAAATGAAAAAATAAAACATGTTGAGAGATGCGCGATTCGAACGCGCGAATCAAAAGAAATCAGGGTAAGAAATACGATCACGTAAGCCTAAACCTGACGCCATAACCACTCGGCCAATCTCCCGTTTACTTGGGCATTCGGAGGCGCAGTTGGTCAAGTACTAGGGGGCTGCCAAGCTGACTGCAAACAACATAAGAGACTCCTTCCGACTGAAGTTTGATATAGATGAACTCAACCCATCAGGGGCTTGCTTAAACGTGCCTGGATAGACAAATATACCCGCGGGAAAACTAGTAGTCCATACCCATGGGCTGAGTCTCGGCTATGGGGAAACCGTTGTCATTGTCATTGTGATTTATCAGTCTGATTCAAGAGTAAACAGCGAGGAACAACGAGATACAGGCGAATAAATCTATGATGAAGGCTTCTCCTTATCCCAGTCCATGTTAATGTCGATGTCTTCCGCACCGACGCACTCCTTGAACCCCCTCGTCTCGAACTCCTTGTCCAGTGCCTCAAATAACCTGCTGAGATAGACCCGCTCTCCCGGGATCTTCAGACCAATGTCCATGCCAGAGAAGATAGCCGCTTCAAAACACGACCGAGCCAGCTTGACGACTGGCGGCACCCCAGATCTATACAGGTCTTTGAATCGCTGTCTCCAGAAGAGCCAGCGCTCAATACTAAATCCGGGCTGGGTAACACCCGCCTGCACCGCAAGGTCACCTGCACAGTCATGCTATATCGTGTCCTCTCTCATGTGATACCACTGCCGAGAGTTTGTGCTGTGTAATTCTCCTGTGAGAGCTTGACCAGCTTGCTGTTGCTATGCGTCAGCCAAGCCAGACACGCGGGTAGGAGGTCGTGGACGGTAGGACGAGCCTTGTCGTCCTGTCCATCCTCCATGACTAGCCTGTCGGTTTCGAGAGCCTGCTTGAACAACCACAATGCACAGCGGCTGAGATCCTTCGGACAGGTACCTGTCGCACACAACTTTGCCGTCCACGCAGCAACGCTCTCTCGCTCCGTTGGTGTGAACCCCATAGACTCCATGGTCCACGAATCCTTCACCTCCTGCGCCAGGTAAGGGAGATCAACCCATAGCCTTTGTCCGTTGGGCAATGTCACTCCCTCGCGTTCTGGGGCAGCTTCTCTATCTGCCTGATTCTGAGTGAAGATCCCTAGCTCACGGGTTTCCGATACCAACGTGACAAGTCGATCGAGTTCGGCACTGGTGGCTGGCGTGATCTTCACTGCATGAATGAGCTCGTCCCAGATATCATGCAGCTGGCTCTCTATCTCCGCCACTGTAAAGTGGTTACTGAAATATCCTCTTCCTACCCCGCCGATGGCGTTGCGGAGGTTTTCCCATGTCTCCTGCGCGTTGGCTGGGTCTGTTTCGTAGTCTTTGCGCTTTTCCTCTCGCGTGGAGCTGGGTAAGGCACAAGTTCCACTGGGACAGTCCATGCTGGCTGCAAGTAATGGAAGAGCAGAGGCAGCAAAGTCGCAGGAAGATTGGGCTGGCGTGAAGAGGGCTCAATTTTGGATATTGATCCTGACCGGCAGTCGACTTGTTTTTGTATGAAACCCTGCCCACTCAACGTGGTCTTTGTGACGATGCGTTACACCGCAGGCGAGCCAGCAGTAATAGGTGAACGTATGCAGATGTCAAGGGTAGACTGATAGGTTGTTGTGTTCAGGTCGTGAAAAATTGGCCTTTTCGAGGCCATTGTCGGTTATGCCGAATTTGGAACTGAACGTTGTCAGCCTCACTGAGCTGAAAACGCGGACTCAACCATCACAATAACAAAGATATCAACCAGAACGACGATAACCCGGCTCGCAGCTATACTATAAACCTCTCACTATCTTCGTATAGTACTAGCTCGTCCTGTCGTATCAAATGCGGATCCATCAAAGAATGTTGCCGATCTCGCAGCGTGACATTCCTTAGAGTACCAAGTGTATACCCCTAGGCCCTGTTATTTTCATACTTACTGACATTCTGGAAGAGCTCTGTATGATGGTTAGGTTGGAGTACAACTGCGAGCAAATGGACGTACATACCATTGATACCCCCATTAGCTATTACCTATTTGATACTCGTCAACTCTCCATGCATTGAACCGGAACTTGCTCGGGTCATACCAAAGGATTAATTCATATATACCTCTCTCTCTCCTGTTTTGGGCAACAGTGTTCAAGACGTGAGAGTATTTACCCGGTATTAAAATCCCGAGATATGGGAGGACGTAGTATATACGGATCCTTCAGTAAATACCTCACACAACTGAGCTGGACCAACACATATCTACTATAGATGATATGGTCTCGGAGCTCAGGATATCATGCCGAGCATTTACACCATGAAGGAAGAGGAGAATGAACGGTTATAGCCGATGTTATATATCTGCTTGCCATCAGATATATAAAGCACTCATCTACCACCGTCGACGCCATCTTGATCAATACATTCAAACACAGAACACCAAGAGATATCTAAACCATCCAAGCCTATCTTAGTAATGAAGCTCAACCTGGTTCTTCTCGCAGCCTTCCTGGCAGCTCCTATCCTTGCAAACACCATCCCTGGAGTCAGCGAGGCCATCGACCTCGCTGACCGCGACATGTCTGCTGTTGAGGAGGGGAATGAACTCACAGCCAGAAAGGTGCGGTTTCTGTTTCCTGAGCAAGGTGTTTTATGCTGCCCTGACACCATGCTAACCTGGACAACGGCAGATATGCATTGGAAGATGCAATAGGAACGGATGCCACTGCACCACGCCAGTGAGAGTGTGTTCATGCAACAGAATCGGAAAGCCATGCGTCTGTCGCTAGAATACGGGATGCTTTCCCTAACCTCTCATTGCTCTTGGTTGTCTGTTTTCGATATTCCATATGTCTGAACAACATGTCGACGCTCATT